GACCAGACCGGGCCCTGCTCCTACAGGGTCAGGCTCAACGACGGCAGAACTTGGAGATGCCACTGCGACCAGCTGCAGGGCAGACACCAGCCGCCAACCGACCTGCAGCCACCAGCAGATCCACACCTTCGAGCAAGCGACGCGGGGCCCAGAAGCAAGGAAGCTGCGAGACAACAGACAGCCCGTGCCCCAGACCGAAGCGGCGACTTACCTGGTGGGCTGGCACCGTCCTTGGCTCGTCGACGACCTGAGCGATCGCCATCCTGTGAAGAAGGGTCCTCGGCAGGGCATCCAGATCCTCCAGGCAGCACCGAAGGGCCTCGCATGTCCGGCCAAATCAGGCGGCGGCCAGCGTATTTACAAGACTACGCATGCGCGAGCTTAGGAGGGAGGAGTGTTACATTCTGAGCATGCGTTAAAATAAAGAATTCAAGCGGGAAGCACTCAACACCTGATTGGCTGGTCGTTTGACAGCTTCTGTATCAAAGGGAGCTGTCCAAACGAGCAGCGCGCATTCCTGTCTAAAAGCCGGTTCTGAAGTTAGCCTGTATTTGTTAGGGAATAAAATTTGTTAGCCTTTTATTCCCGTCTCCGTCTCAGTTCTTCTGGCTACCCATGGTCCCTGTGGACACACCACTCTCTTTTTCTCTTCTTAATTTCCAAAAGAAGACACACACACACCAAGAGTCCTTGATCTTCACTGCTGTTTGGAAATATCTCTCTTGAGTTGTAAAGCAATTAAATTATAAATTAAATCATAAGAAGGTGAGACATTTGCCAGTCAAATGTCCATACGGCTGCACAGCAATTAAAGACACATCCATAGGCCCGTAAACAGCTTGACCCACAATGACCATAAGAAATTAAATTCCTGTGTTCTCCTTGCAAGGACCACTTTTTCTGCACCACTATTAGGTGATCTCTCAATTTCTCCTTCCTGACTGAAATTTCTGACTGAATTTCTATCAGTCAGAATTATCTCCTGGCTGGCAGTTCCACTTCCGTGCTGTCTCTGCTTGTGTAACCACTCACAGACCTGTCTAGTTGGTCATAACACCTCACTTAAACCAACAGCCTCACTAATTTCATCTCAAAATCATCCTGAGAGTTTTGGTCAAAGAGTTTTTATATCCTAGTGTTAATTTTGTTTCCTGATGTTGTTGACCCAGCATGTAATTTGAGAAATCTTCATCTTTAAGGCAGACAACGTACATTTTCCCAGTAAACTTTACAAATTCTCTGTCTAAGCTAAATGTAGCTCAGTAAACATATCTTGTGGCTGATCAGCTCCCAAACAATCCTTTAAAATGTTCATGGTTTGTATAGGCAGCTAAATCAAGAATTTAATACGAGCACAAACCTTCAAAACACATATTGAGACAAGATACAGTTTTGTTTCTGTTCAGAGGTACATGTGATTGTTTCTGGACTTCCTGCCAGGTCATACAATGTGTGTGTTCATGTATGTATATGTGTGTGTGTGTGTCTGTGTGTGTGTGTGTGTGTGTGTGTGTGTTGTGGCCCACCAAGACTTGGCTGTTCTTCAAGCTTTGCAGTAGGTTGATGGTGAAGTACCTATGTGGTTTTGTGGCCCACCAGCGGCCAGCAAAGCTGGTGGCAGATTTGGACAGTGAGGAGGTTGGGGAGAAACATGGGCCAGTCCTGGAGTCTGGAGAAGGCTCTGACAAGTGCTCTGCAGTGGAGGCAGAGATGGAGCCAGGGCTGTCTGACAGTTAACAGTTGCCTTTGGAGTCAGACATCAGTGAGGCAGCCGAACAGATGGAGCCTGTTCCCAGTGTGCGCATGCAGAGTTGCCAGACAAAGGGAACAGCTAAGGAACAAGGACTTAGGAGTAAGGCCATAGGTGGACAGTGAATGTCCCCTCCCATAGGGAATAAAAGAGGAGCGAAAGTGGAGGGGTGTTTGTAGGAGACAATTAGTTCATTCCTGCATTCTTGCCAAGTATTGCGGCATCTGAAAGATATTGGCCTGGCCACTCTCTAAGTCTGATAAAGGTCGGTAATTGTGATCTATCTTGAAAGACTGTGGGAGAGGAAAGACTTTGCTGGAGATGAATTCATTGTAAATTAAATAAAAGGGGTTTATCGGGGCGTGGACTCGGCTTTGTGCTGCTGGGGAAGCTTAGGTCAGAACAATATGTATATATGTAGTGAAGATTATTTGGATTATATATCATGCTCAGCCTTACAATTTTGTCAATATCATTGTCACTCTCTCCATGGGATAGGTAAGAATTTTGGCACAAGGATGTTACAGCCATTCAAAGGGCCATATGATCTGCTTTGAAACATAAAGTTCAAGTCCCATGCCACTAAAATTCACTCAAATAAATATGGGACACAAGTGCCAGTTTGATGTAGGTGGTTAAAGGCAATGTATTAGAAGCCAGGAGACAATGAGTTCCAATCTTGCCCTAGGAATAAAGGGCCAGTCCCTTTGTCTCAGCCTTTGAAAAACAGCTGGCTAAAACCATTTCTAAAAATATTATAAGAATTTGTCCCTGTAACCATTTGAGTCAGGATTGACATTATGGGCAATAGGAAAATATATCTGACATGATTACCTTGGAATATTGGAGTATTGGAATTGGAATATTCTCCATTAGCCACCTCTGCTTGGATGCACAAGGAATTTGTCTCCTGTGCAGAAGCTCTCTGTGTACATACAAACAATTAAGTAATAAGTCGTAGATCATAAATCGTAAAATACAAGCAACAAATGATAAATCATAAAATACCAGTAGAAAAAGGTATAGAAAAGATGAGATGAGGAAGATGAGAATGATAATAGCAATACAGCTCTACTACATGGGTAAATATCTTTAGGCATAAGATAGTGCTGTGGGAATTAGGTGTTTAGCAGAGTGATGACATGGGAGGGAGGGCTATCTTTGTGTCTAGTTGTTTTGGAATACAGTGCCCTACAGTATCCTCCTGAGGGAAGAAGTTGAAGCAGTTTATGTCTAGGATGGTCTGTAGAAATTTTTGTTATGTATTGTATATAGTTGTCAGTTGAAGTTCTCAGTCTGGTCCTCTGCTGGAGCGGGGAAAATACTGTCTCCTAATTGGTTGAGAGCTGATCAGCTTCAGTGGTAGGTTGCAGGGGGTATGCCCCGGTACGGTGCTCTGAAGGGCCCACCCACCTGCCCAAGCTCCCTACCTGTTCTTGAAAGCCTTCGGTGCTTCTGCACAGGTGCATGGCGCGTACAGCGCCTGTGTGATGCTCCGCTGAGCAGCTGGAGCGTCACAGAGGCTTGCAGAAGCTCATGCAGTATACAGGTCCTCAATGGAAGACGGGCTGGTTACAGTTGTTTTTTTTCCAGTCCTAACTATCCATTGGAGTCTGTGTCTGCTGAACCAAATCAGACAGTTATAGAGGTGCAAGTGACAGACAGAATAATTTCTCTGTATTCCTTGATGCATCATGGTAGAAGAAGTTTATGGAAGGGCTTCTTCTAATAAGAAATGATGCAGTCTTCTGTCAATACGTTGACTTAGCTAGTAGAATTGGGCGTAAACAAACATGACTAATGTAGCATGCTCATTTTTCCTCTCCCCCTAAGGTGTGGAGAAATGGCACAAAAAAAAAATCCTGTTCCTTTCACCTGGTTTGTCCAGAAAATATTCTGACTTTGTGGAGTTCAGGTGTATGCCAATCTGCTTGAATAAAGATTATACTATGTTCATAACTAAATTGATCCTGGGTGGTGTGTGTGTGTGTGTGTGTGTGTGATATATGCCTGCTATAATAGTGCCTGATAAAAACACACACCTAGTAGTGAAAACATCAGCTCATGGCCTTTCCTCCCCACAAGATTCTTTTGAACTGGATATTGAGGATGTTAAAGTGAAATGTTGCTGCCCTTTTCTTGCTCACTGCTCTTTCTTTCCATATATTTCCTTAGCAAGGTTAAGGTTCTTGGCTCAGGGAGGGGGAGGAAAACCCTCTGCTTCTAAAAGTTTAATCTACTTTTGTAACAAAACCTAAAAAGAAAGGAAATTAAACAGATGCATGTTTGAGGAAAAAGAGCCTATTTTATTTATCACTCAGTCCTACTTTACCTTCATTGACCTAATTACTTCCCACACCAGGGGAAACAGTGCAAAAGAGCTGAAGGAGTGTGGCTGCCACCTAGTGGACATCAGCTGCCAAAAAAGTAAAGATTGAATCCTTGAGACTTGATGTTTTAATATGTCTAGCCCACAACTTACCGTATAGGTGACCTTCCTTGGTTTACTTATGTGAAGGCTGAGGATATCTGCATTTTACAACTCTCTGCCCTTTCATAAGCATATGGACTTTACTGACTGAATTTTTTAAAGTAAGAGTGAAATCTTTTCCTCCAAGAGGTAAGGGAGCGTATAAAGTGTCTCAGTAAATACCAGTGCATTTTAAAGAAGTGACATATATATGCTCTTTGGTAATATTAAGGCAAATTTGAAGAAAACATATAATGCACAAGTTAGATGCAAATATTTCTGAAAGAAACCCAAAGATTTTGGCTACCTTGCTACCTGAAGATTTATCATTCAAAATTCAAACTTTAGAATGCAGAATGAACAATAATATCCTAGCCTTACCTCATTTCTTTGTATCTGATCTTCCTAAGAAATTATGATGATCATTATCATTTTCAAGAATTGCTTTCCAGGGATATTAATAAGGTTTTATATTAAAATGAATATGTCTCATCCAAAATGATCTACACTTAGTGCCCTGAATAATATTGTGGTCAAGCAGCAAAAGGCAAATCATTTGTACAGTGTTCAAGACATGAATTTTTCATCAGTATTCTGAAAATATAACCTATAAGTGCAGTTTAAAATATTCCTGTGAATAACTGAAGAAATAACTCAAATCAAAAATAGGATGTGATTTTAGTAATGAGATGGAATTTTTGCAGAGCAAAAGATCATCATGATATTTGCCCCAGGAGAGTCTAAAAACCCCATTTTCCATCATATATATCTCAATTCAAATATAGATATGTGTATTCTATGTGAATGTGTGAATGAGTGAGTCAGTGTGGTAGAGTGATTATAGAGTTGGAATGAGATAAAGGAAGCCCCTGGGTGACTTTGAACTAGTCATTATCTCTTAGACTAACACAAACGCGCGCGCGCACACACACACACACACACACAGAGAGAGAGAGAGAGAGACCCTTCTCTTTCTGTGTTGGGTGACAAAGATTGCATAAGAAGGTTAGAAGAGGAGATATAGTGTGTCCAATTTTAGACATGTTCATCTCCATCAGTATTAGGTCTTTTCTAGAGATTAACTGTTCATTCAAAACAAGCCACCATAAATACTTTGTTCTAAAGAGGATTGGTCATAACAATATAGTGTTACTGGGAATAAATG